TAATAACGAAGAAAAAGGTACAACTAAAGCTTACCAAAGTTAAGGCACATAGCAAAGACTTTAACAACAACCAGGTGAATCAGCTGGCAAAGAAAGCAAAGGAGGAACCAGAAATACAATGGAGGTCCCTTTCCACAACAGTTCTTATTACAGTGCCAGAATGGAACAAGATCTCCATTGACACCTCAACCAGAGCATTTCTCAAGGATTATAATAAAAGAGAAATCCTTATATAGTAAACATCACAAAATAGGATCCAGCAAAGATGGAAGGAGGAAATCCAAAACCCCAAAAAATTTGACTGGAAAGACCTTTGGGATCAATGCAAAGAAGGAGGGTCCCTCAACATCTCACTCAAAGCGGCAGGGAATAGAACATTCAAGACCAGACTAATTTACAATGAATTTCCAACCATGGATACTTTGATCAAAAGAAACTCTCTAGAAATGCCTAACAATTTATGTGTACTCTGTCAACACCAAGAGGAAACTTTAGACCATCTGTTAATATGCAAGGAAACAAAAGAAATCAAAAAGGACATCTGGCATCAGGCTCAAGATAAACTCATAAAGTCATGGATTCCACAACATGTTAACAAAAAGGTGAATGGAAAGCAATCAGCAATAGATGTGCTTTTCAGAAAATGGAGAGAGGAAAAATCTGATTCGGCCAAGAAATTAATCAATATAACTATTGGTCTCTGGGCAAAAGAAGATATAGAAGAGTGGACCAATACCCTCCAATCACTAAAGATTTCTAAAGTCAAAGCCAAAAGAATCCTCAGCAAGCTCTCCAACTTCTGGTGTGAAAAGATAAGACAGGCGATCTGGAATCCAAGATGCGAAAGGGTACAAGAGTACAAGAAGAGATTTCTGGACAAAGGTAAAGGAAAGAAGACTGTTATACAAAATCAGAAAGCCAATAATACACAGGGCTCCCAGGAGAAGAAGGACGTGATACAGCAAGACTCGTTAAGCTTCAAAACAGCAACAGCCCCCCAGGCAACAACAGACAGTCCCAACCGTACCCCTGGACTGGCGAGAATACTATGGGATAAGATAAAGGAAGGAAAAAAGTGGTTAGAAATATGAAGTAATCAAGATTTTGCCAAAGTGAACTGTAGTGATGAACTGCAGGCTATGAACTTGAGTTTCCTTAGGAACGGGAAACAAGAGGGAGCAACTTTATTCATCTCCAAGATCATATCTAGAGGTTTATTGCCTAAGATGGGTATTCAAGTATAAGTAATTAGTTTATATATAACAGTCGAATATACGATTATGTCTTTTTCTAGAAAGATTAAATAAACATAATAAATATTTGTTTGATTACGGAAAAAAAAAAAAAAATAATAATAATAATAAAATAATAATTTTATTAAAGAAAATCATAAGAATATTACAAAATAATATAAGAATTCAAGGTTTTTATATTATAATTTTAAATTATTTTTTCTTTAATACTGAAAAAAAATATAATCTTTTTATAATATTTTGATTAATTATAGATTATTTTATTATAATTATTATATATGATTTATTTATTTTATATAAGAAATATTTAAAGAAATATTTTTATTATATTTGAGATGATTATTAAAGAAAATATTTATTTATAAAACAAGAAGCAAAATTGCTTAAAATATTATTATAATAATCTCTTTGAACTCTTAATAAAGAATATTTTTCTAATCTTTTTATAATAATTATTTAGAATTATAAAAAAGTTTTATAACTTGAATTTTAAGCTACAATGTTTTGAATTAATAATATTATTTGAAAATCTATAAATATTTTAAGAATTCTTTTAAAAAATATATATATAAAAATAAGAAATAATAATAATAATTTATAATAATATTTAATAGAATATAATAACAATACAATATATTTTAAATATAATAACAATAATACTGTATTATTATAAATATTATTATACAAAATTATAATTTAACAAATTATATTTTATTTTATTTTATTTTATTTTATTTTATTTTTCAATTTTAAAAATATTTTTACGGTATATAATTTATTTTATATTTAAAATTAATTTTTTTTGCAAATATATATATAATATATAAACAAAGAAAGAACACGCGTAACTCTATTTATATTAAAACTTGATTACTACAATAAATAATAAATTCTAAAAATGATGTTCAAAATTTGGCAACATAAATATTTAAACATGTGTCATGACTAATTTAGATTCTGTGCTACTTCGCGAATGACCGTAAAATTTCTTATCAACTAAGTACGCATCGGGCACGTTGGACGTAAATATGTGGGAAAATTAAATTTATTACGGAATAACTGATAAGACTATCTTCTATTGTGATATTTTCGACTTTAAGGTTAAAATAATTAATACGATTAACGATTAATGTGTACAGATAAGATCATAGAACTATCAAACTTGCTGGTACATACTGTACGTACGTACGTACGTACGTAAATATACATGCGATACGAAATTAGATTATCTATTTTATCTATCAAAAGAAAAAATTCAATTGGTATTTATATAGTTTTTCGAGTTCTCCCACAATCAGTGACAAAACAAAAATGCAACAAGAGTATCACACGCATTTTAAATCCGAAAGACGGAAAGTAAATAAATGTTGAAAAAAAACTACAACGAACAAGACTTTTTTTGGGATGCCAAATGTTACACGATAGCATTCTTTATATGCCCGGCGTGTCTCGAGGTTGTACGGCAGTATCCGTGTTTATCTGTTTGTAGCATACAGCTGATAAAAAGTGTTATCAGTTTATTGCAATAGATCATGATAATTGACTCAGCCTATAAACTGGTAATAGTTGACAGAAGTCCAATTAGGAAGGTGCAAAGATTATGTTAAAAAAAAAAAAGATCGTTTGCTGATAAAAACCCTACTACTCCACAATTTAATATATTCCATATTATAATATAAAAAAATTTTTCCCCACGCATATATAAATAATTACGTATTGACCAGACCATCCAATTTCTTTTTCTCGATTACCCTTCTTTTTTATTATGGACAAAAGTACAACTTCTGCTTTTACTACGTACATAAATTTGGAATCACCGAAATCTCAAAATTCAAAATATCATTTTTCTTCGATGACCACCGAACGACCCCAAATTTACGGCGAACAGGCGTTGGGCAATAGATATCAATATATTAATAACAATAATCTAGAGACTCTCTTGAATGCCATCGAAGTTGCACCAATCGAATTATCTTCCCCAAAACATCAAATTGTTAAGCAAAATATCATGATACCTTCTCACCTTTCTACAGGCAATAATGAAAAGCAAAAATTACATTTTTCTTACCCCCTTTCTCCTACAATCACCACTTCATATCATCATCGGCAGCTTGAAGAATGTAGTAATAATAATATTATTAGTAAGGAACAAATTCGTGCCCATCGATTACTACCTCCTCCTAACAAGAGCATGTCGATCTCTTCATTAATTGATTCGGATCAACCTATTCAATCTTCATCGGTACCATTAACACCACCAGATTCCTCTTTAACGCTAAATTTTCCAGAACTTTCCATAACCCAGACTAAACTTCCAATCGAATCGATTCCATTTCCACGTCTACAACCTTCTAGTAACATTTTCATAAATTCGTTTCCGTTACCCAGCGTGAATCAAGCTATCGGTGATGTTGATCGTACACGTAATTCCCCTCCACCATTAATCTCTAATAATAACAAAAGAAAATGGGAAGCGACCGAAAATCCCTTTACCAATGGTCTAATGAGTATTGATGATAAATACGTTGTTGAAGAGACAAGGTCAAAAATGCGTCGATCTATCGAAGGGCGTTTTACACAAAACTCCGCATATCCTTCATCCAGTATTAATAATGTCAAAGACGAACCTCTGTTGTCTCCATCGTCATCATCATCAACGTCGTCAGGTTCATCTTCACCAAAAGAAACTCACTGTCCACGTGATAATGGAATATCTCTTAACAATCACCATAATTCGAATACGTATCAGATGTCCACCATCACCTGTTATCATGCGTCAGTTGCACAAAAATCTTATGGTAGTGAAAAGAGATTCCTCTGTCCTCCACCAGTAGTGATATTTGAGAGACATGATAATAACTGTAGAGGAGGTGGTGGCGGATATCACCCAAAACCTAGTTTGTCAATGTCGGTGGTGTGTGAAACAGAAGAGAAATTATTAGAGCAAAAGGCATCATTAGACGAAAATATGAAGGGCACGTTTAAGTATTTGCATGTTAGCGGTACTGCCAAAGCCAAACAATTTACTTTAAAACTGAAAATATTTCATAATAATTCCACCATTCCACATGTCGAAATCGATTCTTCGTCAGTCACCATTATATCCAAACCATCTAAAAAAACCGCAAAGGCAAGGAATGTGTCTTCTTGCATATTATCAGGATCACTTATATCATTGTTTAATCGAATTAATTCACAAACCGTGAGAACAAAATATATGGGTATTGAAGGAGGACTATTGTGTGCGAAGAATTCGTCATGGTCTTCTTTTGTAATCACGATAGTAAACAATAATAGTAATAATAGCAATAATAATAATAATATCAACGGGATAGGTGCGATTTCCTCACCATCATCACCATCACTATCTTCATCGAATTCTCCTACCGTCACCAGTTCAGATTCCACACCAATAACATATGGTTCAGAGATAATTCTCTCAGATCCTACAACGGGTTTTGTCTCCGATCGATTAATAATTCGAAAGGTAGAGAAAAGTAGAATCGCTCAAGGTGCGTGTGGTCCCGTTAGTCAAATGCAAAAGATCGCCTTGCAACGAGTGCATCCCGGCACACGCGAACCTCATTATCTAAGTGCAGCTGGCCCAATTACAATGGATGGCCCTCGGTCCCAAGAACAATGTGCGGTCAGCGGTGCTTCCCCTTTCCTTGGTTATCAAACTTCAAAAATAGTCCACATTCAGAATACGGAATTTACAAAGGAACCTTTTCGTATGGCGTCTATGCAATCTTCAATTCTATCTAATAAGAGCGACACATCAAATTCTGCCGTTATTGAAGAAGTTGATGACTATCTATGTTGGACCATCGTAGGAATTTGTATGTATTCAATATTAATACTGCGATTAGTTAAATTTCATTAATTAATTAAATTTTCTTAATACACAATAGCTAAATTCCAAATCAAATATCCCGAATCTATGCCATCAACTCCTAACACGCCTACTCAATAATGTCATTTTTCACGTGTCGTACTGACATTCGAGGATCACACGATTACAAACCAATTTCATTGGTTGGTGATTTTCAATCTCATTTTCTTAGAATGGTTTATCTTAAAAAGAGGTGTATCGCGAAATTAGATCACCAAATTTTTTACCACGGACCATGGATTGGAACAATGAACGCGGCTAATGACCACCGCGTGCAAAAGCTGGGAAGAAATTTTTTTCGTGGGAAATTCAGCAAATAAACCTGTTTGTTGACTTGTATCAGTAATAATCTGAAAATCAAATCTTTGTTAATGGTTTACTTATATATGTAAGATCATCAAACAAATTATCTCATGCCCCACACTAATACTGCATTAGCGCCGAACTTGATTACATACAAATTAATTATGCATATATATAGATAATGTTGATAAGATCGAAAAATATGATCGGAAAAAAACGGAAATATAAAATGTATATTCTAATTATAAAACCAATCAAATGTATTTTTTTATAATCAAAACACCAATATAAAAAATCTTTTTTATGTTATTCATATTGTATATACAGTATTTATATCGTATATTATTTTTTTATATATAAAATTTATAAAATAATTTAATGTGTGGGCCTATTCATAAAATATAAGTTTATATATTTAGGTTAAAAGCAATAGGTTACAATTACATATGTAATAGATTGTTAATATATTGATTATAAATTATGTTTAATAAAAATTGTATATCTAATGTTTTTTTTTTTTTTGTTATAAACAAATATTAAATATAAGATATTTATTAAACTTTAGTTTATAGTTATTATATTAAAAATTCCCAACCACTTATTTATGGAAGTTAATTCTAGTTTATCATATATAAAATCTCTAATTCGAAAAAATATCAACTAAATAGAAACAAACTATTAATAGTCTATAAATAATTAATACTTATTTATAAACAACTAAGTTATTGTGGTCATAATAAAAAATTTTTTTAAATTTAAAAAGATTTTTAAAATAAGAATTGTAATTATTGAAACCATTAAATAAAAAATTAACTTGGATTTTGATTTTGCTATTTGGATCTATGAAATTATAAAAACAATTTTGATTTGTTATTATATTAATAATAGAATTTTGATATTGTTACTTGAATCCATAAAACCATATAGCAATTGTTTAAAAGCTAAGCAAGATATATAAAAAGTCTAAAATTTTTATATAAATATGATATTGAGATTGTTATTATATTGATTAAGAAAATTATTAGGATATTATGATATAAAGTTGCTATTAATATTATTATAAACAGATTTAAGTCAATTTGATTATTATTATATTATATTGTTAATATATAATTGGTTGTTAGGTATATATTAATTATTTGAAAAATAGAACTAATTTTGATTTTTGAGATTTATTAGATTTTTTATGAAAAATAAGTTAATATAACATTATATATTAAATGGAAAATAGTTGTAAAGATTTAATTGAAACAAATAAGAAACTTAATAACTTTGTTTAAGTGTAACTTTAAGATTAATTTTATGAATTTGAGAAATAATATAAAGATAATAGTAATGATATATAGATAAAAAAAGATGTATAAAGACAAAGTTATAAAGGAGAATTGCTACAAGCCTTTTTTCATATAAACAAAGAGTAATTAAGATTTCCAAACTTGCTTGATCTTTGTTCAGAGATTCATTTAAATATAATAGTGATCCTTAACATTCTTATATTCTTAAGCTTATAACATAAATAATATATTGAGAAAGTGAAAAATATTATTTCAAAGAAAATTATTATAAAAAAAAATTTTCAAAGAATTAGTGTTAGATAAAGTTTTTTTTTTAATATTTTATATCTAATATTTATTTATCATAATAACAATTTAATAATATAAATATAATTAATTAAATTATATTTATATTACTTAATATGGATTATAATTATTTTATTTAAAAACAAAATATATTTTGTTTTTTATATATTTGAAACAAAATATTTATTAGATAATATATAAATTATTATTTTTATTATTATTATTTTTTTTATAGGTTAAATATAATCATACATGATTTTTTATTAATTAATAAAAATTCAGTCAAGGATTTTACCAAAAATAAAAATCAATTCTAGAAAAGTTTATAATAAAAATCTTGAAATATAATTGGCTTACATTTATTTTTTATAACTTTTTATATATATATTCTTTATAAATTTTCATAATATTAGTGTATTGCTAAAAACTAAATAAATATATAGTAAAAGATATCTAGTTTTTATAATTACAAATAATTTCTTGCATATAATTTTTTTAAAAAAAGTAAATAAGATTTAAAATCTTTATATTTGCTATATATATTGTTTATTAAAGTGAAACTAATGATCAATATTTAAAATGTTTTTAATATCCATCTCCCCAAAAATTGAGAGTAAAGATCTTTCATATGTTTTTGCAAATCTAGTTATAAAGTATAATAAAATTGATTTGAAAGCATATAAAACAAAGAAATCACAAAAATAATATCATACTAATAATCAAAAAATGATTAAATACCTTATTAAAGATAAGTTCTTAAACTAAAGGTAAGGATATAATTTGAATGTTCTTTACTATTAAAAAAGTTTTTTTTTTAATATAAAAATTAAAAACAACCATCTATAAAGATTTTTTGTAGTTTAGACTATTTAATTTAAATGTTTTTTGAATTATATCCCTATTAAAATAAAGAGTAAATAATTATATTTCTTTTAAAAGGATATAATTAATCTGTAAAATTTTATATACTAAATATTTTAGAATCTATTCTTATACCTTACTCTTTATTATAACTATCTTTATGAACTTTTTAAGTTTTCTTCCATTTTAGAATCTTATTCAATTTGTAAGAAATATTACAATTAAACAATTGTTACTAATCATTTTTATTGATATATTATAGGTCTTGTTCAAAAGAATAAATGATTGTGACTCAGTATTGATAAAGCTGATATAATTGATAACATTAATCTTTCTATTAAACTTGATAAAACAAAAAAGCTTCTTAAGTTTAGTCAATTAAAAAATCAATAGAAATTATAATTAATAGCAGATCTCTTATAATAATAGAAGATCAAAAAAAAGAAATTGTAGATTTAAAGGCTTTATTATAAAAAACATATAATACTATTATTGAGATTCGCAATATATATGAAGGGCTATACAAGAATAAGGAAATTTTTATAAAACAATAAATTTCTCAATACTGTAATCAGTATAAATATATACAAATCATTATTGATATTATATTATTTAAACGAGAATCTGTGTATACAAATATTAAGTCTTTAATAAGATATAATAATCAGTTTCCTTAATAAATTTGCTAAACTATACTTTGCAGATATAATTAAGTAATTGTAATCAGATTATTGTAAAGTTTATTAAGATATTAACTAATAATATTCTTAATATAGATTTCTTAAATAACAAAAAAAATCATAAAGAGCTATAGTTATCAATTTAATATATGGATTGAGATATAGAAAATATATATCAGAAATGAATTTTGTAGCATTAGCTATAAAATATTCTATTATACAATCGAAAACTATTATTAATATCAATGGTTATATTATAAATTTGAGAAGCTATTTTTACTTTCAAAATTGATTGAATAAATTATCTAAAAAAGAAGAATCCTTGCCTAAAGGAGTTTTATTTTTGGCATTTAATAATAAACAAAGGGGTCAAAAAAATTATCTCGATTGGAGATTCAATATAATAATATTTTATATAGTTATTAGTTTTATTATTTTTAATATAGAATTATATAATTATATTTAATATACTAATATATCTTGGACATTTAATTCTTTAAATAGATTGCAATATGAAAATTTTTTCAATATTACATCTGAAATGTAAGAAGTAATTGATAAAGAATTATACACATATATGTCTAAAATTATTGATTTATTATATAAAGAAAAATTATTATCAATAAAAAATATTGGTTCTTTATAAATAATATTAGATCAAATAAATATTTAAATAAAAAGTGTCTAAATTGTAATAAATTAAATATTGATAATTGAAAACAAATCTATCCAGAATATGAAACACATTTGCTTATATTAGTAGAATTGCAAAAACAATATGTATTTGAATTCAAAGATACATCAGACCAATTGACAATTTATAAGTCTTATAATGTTTATAAAAAAACCAAACCTTCCAGTTCATTGAGAATTAATATTACTCAAAAACAATCTGCTGATTATAGAATTAATATTCCAGATATTTTTATTCTTAACCATCTCAATATTAACTTCAATTCTATTGCTAATGTTGAAAAAAATTTTCTTCATATTGAAAAATATTAAGAATTAAAGACAATATATATAAATGGATAGCTGTAATATATAATAGCATTCAATATCATTATATAATCAAAATAAGAAGAAAATATTTATGACTGATTCTCATTTCTGACCAATTGTATAAAGAAATAAATATATATAGAATTAAATTGGTAAGCTTGTATTGTATTTAATTATTTTATGATTTTTATAATATAATTTAATCATTTTAATCTTTTAAAATAAGAAAATCAATCTCAATTGATTTGTAATTTGTTAAAGATATAAAATGAAACTTTAAAAGTATTTTAAAAAAAAGAATCTATATAAATCTTATATTTCATTAATACTTATACAAAACCAGGAACTATTATTTAAATCAATTTTAAGTATGAACTTAAACTGGTTTAGAGTAAAATTCTAATTACAGTATTATAATTTTTAATAATAAAGCTAATGTTTTAATATTTAAATTATTGTCAAAAAATATTAATGCTTAAAAATCAAATGAAACTATTAGACAATGGAGTTCATTATTATAAAAGATATTTAAAAAAATAATTTATAATGATTATTTATTTACTGTAAAACTTATTTTAATACAAATATTTTTATAATCAATTATTGTAAGTTAATTCAAAAAATATATATTTTAAAAATACCTTCAATAGAAAAA